ATCTTAATCTAGACCGTCGCACTGGGTACTTGAAGGTCAGTTTCGTTTAGTTTATTTACTATGTTAGCTCTGTATATAAATGATGGCTAACTTTTTGTTGACGATTTATTTTATAAAAGAATTACTATCGCTTTGCTTATTTTCACATGATATCATAACTTGTTTTATTGCTTTCGTTAGGGATATGCCTTGATCGAATATGAAACCTACAAAGAAGCCCATATGGCTATAGAACAAATGAATGGAACCGAGTTGCACGGACAGAAGATCCGCGTGGATTGGGCTTTTGTCAAAGGTGCAACAGCTATGCGCAGTACCAAACGTGAAAGGCATAGAAGCCGTAGCAGGTCTCGAGAGAGAATTCGAAGATAAATTCTTTTATATTGTATATTTCTAATCCTGTCATATTTGAGCATAAACATATATTTGGCTAAGAGCTACATACAATTTTGTTGACTGTTTCTAAATTCCCTTAAGTGAAAAGCATTACATATAAATGCTCGGTGTTATGGGCCTACGTTTAGGCCGCCCAGAAAGCTTAAGTTAACTAATGAATCTGATCACTCAATTTTCTAGTTTTTTTTGCTATTTTTTTTGTCTCAGCTCAGTTAATTCATTATTGCGAGACCCTCATAATTTTTTGTATCCATGCTGCCTTCCATTTTAAGTGTTTCCCATTCCTTGAGAACAATTGAACAAGGAACAGGAGATTAAAGTGATTACGCTTAATTAAACGACTTAAATAAGTCCAAAACATTTCCTTATATTCCCATTTTTGCCCGATAAGTTTCTTATTTGAAATGAATGTGTGCATACATGTATGCTCATTAAGGCTATACATCAAGCACGCGGTTTAACTCTACTTACTAATATTCAGTCATTGCATTCTAGCCATACTTTAAAGATCCCTTGATAATGTAACTGAATTATTTACCAAAACTTTGGGAAATATGTTATGCTAAACAGTATCGAATCTAAAGGGAAAACTATACTTTCTCGTCTGTCTCATGAATCTTCGTTATGCTGAATCACATAAGCGAAAGTAACCTAACTGGAGTTGCTGATTTAGCATTCCTCTAAAATAACACTGTTGAGTAAAGATAATGGTCTTTCTAACTCTTATTACTTCAAAATGCTTTTACAATAAATTTGGCTAATGGACTGACGTAGTTCCTCTGACTTATTGCCAGCGTTTGTCTGTTTATGTTCTTCGCTCTCTTTTTTGGCAAGCTATTTTCACGCTTTGAGCATATAGGTTTAACAATGTTAAGAGGCTAAATTCTAATGGAAGACAGTACATTTTAATATCATTGAGTTTCAGTCTTAAAAATGAATGTGGTCTCGATCTATATAGTGCTTTTTTTTCTACAAGGCTATTCCTATTCATGCTCATACATCCAGATGTCTTTATTCTCATAACCGAAAATCTTTGCTTTATATTTGACGATCTAGACGTCCAAATTCACTGAAAACTCGGGCTGGAAATCCTCAAAATATAGATAAAACCGTCTTAGATACCTAACAGAAATCTAAGAGCAAAGCAGTGGTGGTCTTTGTTTATCCTTGCAGCGGAAGTGGGTTGGAGGTGGTTCGAGTGGGAGTGCGGCGATTGTGTAGGGAAGAGGGGTTTATCTTTAGCTTAAGTTTATAAGAACGTTCTATCTGTGCCTGTGAGGCATTGCTTTTAGATTGGTTTATTTCGTGAAACAGCTGGATGCCTCATTAAAACGCTATTCTCAAATTATAAAACGGCTTGTTCTGCTTACCTAAATTACCGGACTATCTTTTTTATGCAGATCAAGAGATAGACTGGTAAAGTTTAACATATTAATGGGATACGGAAACCTCTAAAA